CCCCCCCCGCCATCCAGATGGGCACAGCTTCAGACAAAATGGCCGCCTGACTTTCCCTCTGCCAAAGATGGCGGGCGCGTCTCAGCGCTCTGCCATCTGCGTGTGGCTTTAGTTGTTGTCGGATACAAATGTGGCACTAATTGCATTTGCATAACCCTCCAAATTGTTCCTGGCCCGTGCCGCTAATTGCGATGAATTTGCGGCGACAACAAGAAGGACGAAGGTGTTTTTTTTTGTTTTTTTTCAAGACGTAATCACGGCAGTTAGTGTTTGTTTTAATCCGTGTTGTTTTTGTAGCTTTTCGGTTAACGTGAGATTAAGGCTGCGGCGGCCCAACTGTGCCATATGGTGTGTGCGTTTGCATGCAAATGGGACTGTAGGAAAGATTAAGCTTTTTTCTTTTTCAAGCAGACAGTTCTCTGTCATGTCCATCGGCACTCACACACACACGCACACGCACACACACACACACACACACACACACACACACACACACACACACACACACACACACACACTCACAGCGCTGCGAGAATAAAATAAATAGTACATTTCTGACGTCGGGTAGAATCCTCGTATCTCCAAAATCATCACTTTTCAGGATACCCCAAAAACCGCATATTTGTTCAATCATTCACATTGTATTATCAAAGTCAGCGATCCACTTTCAACACATTAGACTAGTCAATATAACACTCACGAACCTGAGGAGTGAGCACTTGGACAGATTTGTGAAAAAATAAAAACATTGACCAATTTGAGCACACACTGTAATTTAGCCGGGCTTCAACGAACTCCAGACACACAACCCACAAAAGACTCATTTTCATGCACGTGGTTGTCTGGTTACCATGACAGTGAACACATCGTGAGGTGGTTGTTTTTTTTTGCAGGGGGGGGGGGGACTGGGCTTGAGAGTGGAAACGTATATATCGGGGAGAATTTGTAGCTTGGAAGCATCCCAGGAAGTTAAATTGCAGGCTAGAATGCGGCGATGACTGATAAAATGTCGGCGCCGGATTGGCCGATTCGTATTTCCAGGCTCATTAATTCACACGACGGGTGTCGGCCCCTTATTTGCATTTGCCCATCGAGGCAGCTGCTGTGCGATACAGTTTTGAGGCAAAATGGCGGTCACGCGAATCACATGGCTGGTGGCAGGAAAGAGCAAGAGGAGGGGGGTGGGGGTTCGCATTTTGGGGTGCATGTCTGGTTGGAGAGAGAGTAGACTGGTGTGGGGGAGCAAAAGATGGAGTGGGGGGGGTGCTTGGTGGAGAGGTTATTGGGGGTGTCTGGCTTTAGTAGACCATTAATGAGAGGCTGGGTTATGGAGGGGGGGTGGGTCGTTTGTCTGCGTTTGTGAACATGCGTCTGCATCTTGCTCATTTGCATCACGCGGCAAAGGGCGTCCATATGCTGCAAGGCACCAGGGATTTATATATATTTTTTCCCCATCCAAGCGAGAGACTAGGAAGATGCTCTCGTGCCACATGCCTCCATATAACACTCCTCCGAGGTTCAGGCTGGCCGCATCACTTGGGATTCGTCCAATGAGCTCTTGCTCCTGACCAATTGCAAACGATCAGGAAGTGAAAGGGAAAAAGGCTGTCACGAGTTTACCCTTCGTGTGCACCAATATGGAAATGGATCCAGGGATTTTTAGATATACTGTCCTTGAGTGTATAGTTCACTGAAAAACAAATGAAAGCAGTCTAGTTTGACTGGAATGCCCGCTGAAACAACTGTGTGGTCACCTGCTTTTTAAAATATCAACTGACTGAAGAGAGAAGGCCCTTTTTGGGCATAACCAAGACTTACTCCACAGTTGGTGAACACTCCAAATTGGTAGACTCACGCTAAAATGAGTCAAAAGAGTCATTTCGAGGACGCATATTCTATTTTCGTGATCATATTGAACATTTTGCACGTCCCTAAAATGTCCACATTTGTCATGATGCACTGAAAAAGGTTTTAATTGAATTGACTAAATTTTATTTCTGCAAGTGATTGCATGAAATAAAATCATCTGGATGCAGGTCCATTTTTTTAAATAGACTACACATCAATTTAAAAAAAAAATGTGGATCAGGTGATTTTATTTTGTGCAGCTGCTTGATAAAATAAAATCGAGTAAATTCAAGCCACCATATTTGTTTTAATTGTGGGGTGACTTCCCCTTGAAGAATCCGCCGATGTGACCTCACTTACCAGCGCTTGTCTTTCTTCAATGGGGGCTGAAAGAGTGACGAGTTGCAGAGTAAATATTTAAACATTCGTGTTGTAATTTTCATCATATCAAGTGCGTAGTTGAATGTTGTCAAGCTTAACATGTCCACTCGGCCGTAGTCGAACATGAATTGAATTCATAACCTTTCAGATATTCCAAATAGATGGGTTCAACACGAGACAGTCAGTTTGCTAACTGAATCGTGTCACTACGTGAAGGTCCACCGTCTGCTCATCGAGCGATGACGTTAGTTCAAAATGTCCACCCTGTCAGCAAGCTTAAATATGTTTCGGCTCGTCTGTGAGAATCGCTATATAAATAAAGTTGATATACTTCTAGGATATATTCATTGTCCGGTGCAGTCAATACGGCGAGATGTCAAGTGTCAGACAACGAGACACAAAGCAAATCTCCATTGTGTCTGGGCTAAATGTTGAGCCTGCGACGGACTGGGAATGTGCGGAGCGTGGGAAATGCCGCCAGAACAGAGCCAGACTGCTCTTGTAGCAGGTGAATGAGGACCCTAGAGTTCAAAGGTCAAGGCCAGTTGAAGAGGTAGTCTGGTTGTTTGCTTGTCGTCTGGGCCTGGCGTTATGCTAATGAAATGGCCGCCCCCGCTCGATAAGCAGCGCCGTCTACTGCTCGTCCGATCTGGCCGTTCCGAGGGACGGGTGGAGACTTGAGGAGGAGTCACATCGGCATGTTTGACATGCACGGGGTCAGATGGAGGTGTAGCATCACCACAACTGGAAAAAAAAATATATATGAATATAATTTTATATATAAAATGAAACATTATGAAAATGAAAAATGATCAAAGAAACTAAATCTTGCTTCCATCGAAATATATTGCTCACAAAAGTAAAAGAATAAAAATAAAAATTACAGCGCTAAAAGATTAAATTTACATGGTTGAATGTAATCCGCCCTGATGTTCAATCTTCAAAAAAATATCACATAATGCAATGCAGTGCAGTTTTAAAAGAAATATATATTACTTTACCTTGAATGCAGCATTGCTTTGGCACTCCCTTTCTTCAACTTGAACTGGGCTCTTCAACAAGGTAGAGAGAATTAGGAACATTTTAGCGGTGAGTGTTAGCTTAAAACATTCCCGCATCTGCCAGAAAACAACAACAAAATGTCAGGAAAAGTCGACGAGAACATCAAGACTTCATTTGGGGTTAATCAGAGACGCTTTTAACGGTGGCAGGTGGGTGCATTGGTTCCTTCTGAACACCAGTCTCATTTTTTATTTTTTTTAATATCACAAAACCTGACATTTAAACAGCAGTGTGTGGACTTTTTTTTTCTAATCCACTGTTTCAAATTCAATATTCCTTTTATTGGAAGTGTGAGATCAAGTTTTTAGAGTCAGGAAGTGTTAAATCGTCGAAAACGAAAAGCCTTAAAAGTGACTGGAAATGTAAAATTTGACACAATGAAAATGATTGGAGCACATGCTTCCTTGCTTCTTAAAAGGTCTGCTTTTAATTTATTAATTTTTTTCTTTTTGGGGGGGCTGCGAGGTGAGTACAGTTGGTTTCACTTTGCCTGTATATACTGTACATGTGCACATATGTAGCATCGTAAATAACAACAACAATAATAATAACCAGGCAGCACGAAACGTATTCAAGTCTCAACTGAGGAGGAACAGTGACGTATTTTGACACCGCGGAGTGTTTTGTAAAATGGAGAGACGATGTTGCTCCGCCAAAGTTGTACGCACGCGCGGCTTCCTTCGCTCATTTTGAACGCGCCTGGTGCCCAAGGAAGGAAGCGAGTGAATAGATGAAGAAGCGCACGGCCTATACCTCTGTGCTCTCTTTATGCTTGTGGCCGCAGGCTTCATTAGCTCCGCAGAAAAGGGGGACAGCTCCCTCAATAGACCCATAGACCTGTCTCACTGGCACGGCTCGGGCCTCCGTGTGGTGTGTGTGCAAGTGCGTGTGTGTGTGTGTGTGTGCCGGCGTGATTTGTATCCGTGTTTCCCCCGACCATTCGCACACCACGGGGGCCTCATTGTTTCTCACTCATGCCTAAAGGAGACTCGGCATTGACACTTTTTTTTTTTTTAAGGCTCAAATCTCTCTTTGTCCCTCATTCTCTCGTTTTCCCCTCGCAGGCTTTCTATTATTCTCCATTTCACATTTTTCCTCATTGTGTTGCCTCTCTTTATTTTTTTGGGGGGGGGATTTTAACTATGTACTTTCTTCCACATACCTCCCATTCCATACAGCGTAGCATTCTCGCGTCACCATCAGAGCTGTATATTCCCGTGGTGCTCCTTGATTTTAATCGTGCCTATCATACACAGTTGATATGACGCATATACGTGATCATAACGTTCAACCTATGAATCCAATCAATCCGGGGACATCCACTCGCCACTTCACTGTAAAATCGAACAGTCTATTTATAGTTGTGGTTGCGGTTTACAGTGTGCTACATCATGTTGAGAGTTGCATCTAATGCTGTATCTCCTGAGGAAGCAAACTATGACAAAAGCGCTCAGTATGATGTAGTACCGTTCTACACCTCTGCAAAGTGCACATTGTTCAATGAATATCGATCCGAAAGAGTCAATCGAAGCGAATGATGATCTTTGCGAGGGATTTTTGCTACGTATGAATATTGGATCACATGTCAGAATTAGCATCGGCCTAAAAAAACAAAAACAAACAAACCAAAAAAAAAAAAACATATTGGGTCATGGCCTACTTTTGGGGATGAGCAGTGACGTGGTTGCATCGACTACTTTTTAGAATTATGGCCCAAAAAGTTCCACCCTTGGTTTCACTGCAGAATGACAACAAAATCTCCCAAGTACATGTAGGGGAAATGTGCTAAACTGGATGATTTTAATGATGGAAACTTGGTGTCTTTTTTTTAATACCTAAATGACCTGTTATTTTAACCAGGGTGTCGATTTTTCATATCCACTCTAAAAAAAAAAATGTGTGAGAAATATACAAATATTTTGTGGTAGCAGAGTACTTCAAGAGGCATGCAGCAGCTTGTGCAAAAAAAAACAAAAACAAAAAAAACAATATCTTGCTTCACTTATGTTAAATGCAAATTGTGTATTTTTCAGAGATATGTTTCCATATGACTTTTTTTTTTCCAGTTTTGGGCTGAGATCATCAGCATGAATAACACTGCTAATGATGAGATTTTGTGCCACGTGCATCATCGTCTTCCATCGTACGCGTGGAGTTAATGATGATCAATAAATGCTGACATTGAGTTGAGAGTCCAGGTCCTATCACTGTGGTTTCAAGGTTGAAGTCAAAGTAAGGTGCCATGGGGACTACTTTGTTGTACCCGCCAGTGAGATGCAATCTTTGACTCAAATACGGGAACGCGAACGAGGAGCGAGGCTGACGGCGAAGCAACTAACGATAGCGTGGCCTGGTTTGCGGTTCCACTGGGAGAGAGGCACTTTTTGCCTGCAAAATGAGATAGCGCGAGCTCTTTGAACACGCAAAAAAAGCACGCGGGCGCAAGCACGTTGTTCCAGCCGTCGATGTGAACCGGCTCGACTTTGTTGTTGAGGTAGCGAGAAACTTTTTGCCCCACATTTCTTTCGCGCGTACGCGACTCATCATTTCAGTCTTCCACTTGGTCGAATGCCACAAGCCGCCGTGAGGTTACACTTTTCCCAAAAAAATAATACAAGTTCTCATTCTCTTGCTCACAGTTTTCCTGCATGCTTCATGCTGTTTATGTGTCACTCCTGGTTGAAGTTAACTGTTAAGCTGACACATAAAACATCCATCCATTTTCTAATCTGCTTACCCTCATGAGGGGGTTTGCTGGTATGCTGGAGTCGATCCCAGTTGTCTTCGGGGACACCCTGAACTGGTTGCCAGCCAATTGCAGGGCACGCAAAGACAAAACAACCATCCGCTCTCACAATCACACCTCGGGGACAATTTAAGGGGTTCAATTAAGCTGCCATGCATGTTTTCGGAATGTTGGTGGAAACCGGAGTACCCGGAGAAAACCCACACAGGCACAGGGAGAACATGCAAACTCCACACAGGAAGGCCTGAGCCGGAATCGAACCCTGTACCTCCGCACTGTGAGACCGACGCGCTAACCAGTCGCCCACCGTGCCGCCACACATGAAACAAAACAGCTAATCACGTTCAAATACCGAACAAAAGTCAGCTAGCTTAACGCTAAACGTTAATGTGTAACATCTTAGACAGACTGACGGGAAATTAGTATTGATATTCTTCTCTTGTCTCTTGTCACACACACGGAGCAGCAACACTTAGAAAAATACTCACGGGCATATATTTTCTCTGCTTTGTAGGGAACGACGACTATTTCTAGCAGAAGCCTGAAGGTTTTGCCTTGGAGGGACTCTTTTTCACTAGACGGGATGTCTGCGGCATGACGTGTCACTACAATGAAGGCGCGCTTCGCTACATTTGGACTGCATACTGTAAAAACACATCAAAAAAACGATTGGTTAAAAATCTGCAGTGTACTGTAGAGGGGAGCTCGACTGATGACCTGCGATATAGTGGGGGGGACACTGTACCTAATAAAGTGTCTGCATATGTGTGTATCACACGCAGCCAAAGCTCGACCGTGTCCTGCTGGGAAGATTTCATTCCCATAGGCTGGACGCATCTTGGAGGTGGGGGGGACACGGCATTCCCTTCACACACACACACACACACACACACACACACACACACACACACACACACATGTGTCGCCGCATGATGGATAGGTGCATCCTGCAGAGTGATGTCACTGTCACACACACACGCACACACACACACGCTGTTGGCTCTTTTGGTGTAGCTGTCACTTGGCCACCCATTCAGGGCTCAGTCACGGCCACTTAGAGCGCAGCAGACTCAGGGATTCACACGAGCTGTGATCCAATGACATGTATTTATAATGAGGGGCCGCCAAAACGTCTTTGTCACACGCACACAATGTCAGTAAAAAAATGTGTGTGTGTGTGTGTGTGTGTGTGTGTGTGTGTGTGTGTGTAAAGAGAAGAGAATCAGCGCCAATTCCAAAACCATTTCAACTCTAGACCAAATAATAATTTGAACTCTCGCCAACGTGAAATGACTGAACTTTCTAAATCACAGTGTCGTTCCTGAAAAATGGACCGACACATGAACGACACGGTGGGGGTTTACCGTAACGACGCGTGTAAGGGAGCAGGAAAATCCGTGCACGCGCGCGTGTCCGTCTGTGAGTCCGTCTGTGTGTGCGTGTGAATGTGTGTGTGTGCGTGTCTGTGTGTGTGTGTGTGTGTGTGTGTGTGTGTGTGTGTGTGTGTGTGTGTGTGTGTGTGTGTGTGTGTGTGTGTAAAGAGAAGAGAATCAGCGCCAATTCCAAAACCATTTCAACTCTAGACCAAATAATAATTTGAACTCTCGCCAACGTGAAATGACTGAACTTTCTAAATCACAGTGTCGTTCCTGAAAAATGGACCGACACATGAACGACACCTGCGATGACATCATCATCATCAGAGCTGCATCACATATTTTGCTTTTCAAAACATGAATTCTGCTCGCTTTTGACTGACACCGTCAGAGGGACATTGATTTAACGAGAGCAACACTGGATGATTTTGTGTGCGTTGCTATATCCAATAAGTCACGCTGGTAAATAGTCGATCCACCTCTACTGACCTTCTACGTGTGTGTGTGAGCGTGTGCTCATTTCCCCGCGCTGGCATTATTCTTACTGCCTCCGAGCAGCGACATCATCCAGCCATCACTTTATCTCATCACGATCTAACCTTTACGCATCTCACTCTCGCCACCTTGTAAATTGTCCTGTAGAAGCTGCTTGGAGTTTGGATGAAGTGGAACTGCGCCGCATTTTCTTTTTTTTTCTTTTTTTCTTTTTTATTTTTTGGGTCCTAATATTACGGTTACCTTATTCAGCTACACAAGTGAGGCAGCAAAATATTCGCATCAGCTCTCGGTGTAAAGCGGTGAAGATCCACACCACTGCATTACAACTATAATAATCATCCTATATTAACCCCCTTTCATGCACCCTGTAACCTGGTAACATGATAAGCCGTCCACTGTAGTAACTGCTGTCCCTGAAAGGGTTAATGACACGGGGAGGAAAATTAGCGGCCGCAATATACAGTCGATAGCACAGGATGCTAATTCGAGGCCTTTAATTTGTGGTCACGAAATACTGGAGGCATAATGTGCGCACACAGTGAAATTTGGTAGTCATTTTTACACAGTCACCGTTTTTTCTTTCCTCTAACTGAGTTGTATTTCAACATTTTTGGAGTACAATCGCCCGGCTACTTAGAGTGGGAGCAAATCTTCAGAATACATCGAAATCTCTTCACCCAAGAGTACAGTACATGTGGCCCCGCCCACAACTCTCTTCAGTGTAAAATGTGAGGCGGTAATTTATGTTCTCCTGTGGATATTTTACTCTCATCTCAGTGAAAAGTCATGAGATCACAAAAGTAGGTATCATGTATGCGCAAAATACTCATTGGAGCTCACAAAATTGGTATCACGTACACATAAAATACTATTTTGAGGCTCCGAAATAGGTATCACTTGCGTTGGACATGAAATAAGTATGTAGTGTGTACACCATACGAAATTGGAATTAAGAAATACTGTTGGAGTAACGTGTGGACAAAATAAAAATTTGAACTGCATACCTGTTTCGTAGCCACAAATGTGTGCATTGGGCACTTGTAAAACCTTCTTCGAGGCCACAAATGTGTATTTTGTGCGCACAGTGGACAATAATTGATCCGTACAGTATTTTGCGGCCATAAATTAGCATTTGGTGTGCATAGTTTACCTACTTCACGGTCACGAAGAAGAATTTTGTGCACGTTATATAATATTGAGGTATGCAGTGTGGTCACAAATGAGTATTTCATGTGCACACTTTTCCAATATAATGGCCACCAATTTGTATTTTGTGAGCACCTACAACCTCCTTCCCGCCCACAAATTGGTATGTTGTGTGCACATTATTATTATTTGATGGCCGCGAATGCATCTGTAGGTGTACCCAATGTTCAGGCCGGCGATCAATGTTTCACTGTCTGCAAGCGGCTATCTGTGGACGACAATAGTGCATACATTAAACATTTGGTCGGGACAGCGTGGGCAGTAGAAGAGCTCTGGAGAGCCCTCCGGCCTCTCATAATTGCTCCATGTCTGAAGCATTGCACCTATCCAGAGACTGTATTCAACCATAACTACCTTCATCCTATTCCTCACTCCCCGTCGAGTGAATCTCCATGAAAAATATTGTTTTATTACACAACGTAACTCTGAACTATAAAAGGCTTCTTGGCTTGTCGGGTTGCCGTGCGGTGACGGTGCCAAAGCAGACTCTTACCGTGTCTGGGATGCGGGTGGGTGTGTCATTTCCCTCGGGTGTCATTGGGCAACTCTCGGGTGACTGGGAGACTTCTTGGCAGTCCACACTTGAGGCTCAAGGGTGGCGTGGCATGGACTCGAAGTCAGACATATTGCTGGTCATGACAAGGGGGAGTCCCTTCTGCATGCATACACAATTTCATTTTGAAAACTGTCTCGGTAATCATAATTTTTTTCCATGCCTCACTCATGTCCACTTTGTCTCTCTGTCTTTTTTTTTTTTTGCAGGACGTGATACCGGAAAACAACAAGGATTCCTAGTTAAGGTTGTGGCTGCATTACAGTGTTATCCTGCTGTTTTGAATAAAGAACATAAATATGTCTGTGTTGTGTGTACATTTTAAAATACACTGCAAATAATCTAGGTGTGTCTTGCACTGTTTTTACGGCAAATAAAATGTGATAAGTGTCAATGTTGTATTTATTTTTTTCCATTGAATGGTGACCGACTACCTTCACTTCATCGACTTTGTGTTGAAGAATTTTTTTTCATTGATTTTCAATTAAAACATGCTGTGTTTACCACCTTTATAAATCTACGTGTCTTGTCAATAAAAATCATTTTGGTTTTGACCAATACGCTGCAGTGAATTTGCTCAGAGCTCACATCAATGCAAATTCCACAAGGTTTTTCCAAATATCTACAGTACATACACGGCAATCAAAATTCAGACATTTAGCAGTGGTGTATCTGAGTTAATAGAATTAATTCGAATTAAGTGTCGTTTTTTTGGGGGGGGGCGCATGGGAAAATAAATATTTGTCAGTCAGAAATATGTTCAAATCCACAATATGCATTTATTATTTCAAATCTTTTTATAATTTTTTTTTTATATTGTAAATTCATACTGTATGCGTTCCAGTCGGAAATGATAAGATCCTGAAAATCGAAAAAGTAGGTCACACCAAATTTGTAAAAGAGTTGCTATTAGAGTAAAAAGGCATCCAGTTACGAAATATTTTTCCAGTTATTGGTTGTTGGTGTATACAATATTTATATAGTTGATGTATATGATCAATTATACTATTGAATGATATTAATGATTAAGTTGAACAACGTGTTTTGACTTTGTGTGATCATTTAGTGAACAAATGGGGAATAAAATAGATCCGGACTGTTAAAAAAAAGGGTGGGCGCTAGCAGAACTTTTATTTGGGATAGGAAGGACACGAAGACCAAGATGGAGGCGTGTGTATCAAAGGATGCGGTTGCTATAGATATTTGGCAAGATGCCAAAGGGAGGCAGAGCCAGCCTGCATTCATTCAGTTCTATTTTCCTTTCTCACGCACTTCGTCTTCTTACGTTTTATTACCATTATTTCACTTTTCCTCTTCAATCTGCGAGTCCCAGCAAACCCACCCCCAAATTCCTGTTTTTTTTTTTTAAATTATTAACTTTTTAGGGGATGGGGGGGGGGGGCTCCATTTCTTGTTTTAAAACACCCTCAGTAAAATGATTTGATGAGAACCAAAAGAATAGCATTTCTCCACTCGTGGTCAATGAAAACGAGCACATTATTAGCTTGTAAAGCTGTGAAGTTGCTTCAGAGTCACGTGTGTTGCATTTAATGTGCCGTAAACGTGAAAAAAAAAATCTATTTTTATTTCTATTTTTGTAAAGTGACCAAAAGGCCCCGAATCAATAAAAAACGTGGTAGTTAAAATAACAGTTATTATCTCATTCAGCGATTAATTTGGTACTTTTACTGTAATCCTAGTTTCCAGCTTTGCGCTCCTGTGGTGCGTTCACGGTCAAAGTTCAAGTTCATGCGTCACACCAACAAATGCGAGTCGGCTCGCGTTCGCGTACAGGGACGAAGCACTGTGCTTACCCTACCATCTAGCGACCGTTTTTGGAATTGCACATCATAAATACATTTCCGAGATTGGAGTGCCCTCTAGTGGATATTTTTCGCAGTTACCAAGCTTCACTCTTTTTTGTTGGTTTTCCCACTAAATCATCCCATAATCCATATAAAGTATATATTTCTTCGATAAATATTTTGTAAATGCGTTTCTTTTCAGTAGGGAAAGCAAATGACAATCAGTTCTCAAGTGCCTTACCTGGATATATAAGGGTCTAAAAAAATGTGTCGTACTTCTAAGTTACAGTACATAAATACAAACAAAACTGAATTTAAAGGAATATTGTTCCACATTTTAAAATACAAACAGCCAAATAATTCACTGTAACAGTACAGTTTGAACGTTTAATTCAATTGGGTGGAAAAGAAATTGTGCGGTTTTACAGCGTGGCAGCTACAAGGACTGAGTTAGTGCTGAACATTAAGCTACGTCATTTGTCTGACCGCCACGAAACTTGAGAAATATGGGTCACTACAATGAAAGAGGAGGCATTCCAAGAGTGCGTACTCGTTTTATTTGACTTTTAAAAACAGTCATATAGAGAAGTTGAGTCAATATGAATGCAGTGTGCAGATGAGGTACGCATTATACACACACGCTCAGATGGCACAAATCAATGGAACTTAAAAAGCGGGTATTTGAACAACCACTGCACTTGAAACAATACTCTGCACATTGAGGTATGGAAATTGTGTTAAAACAATTATTATGGATATCTGAACATTAAAATGGTTCATCACTCAAATTGTCAGGATTTTCATGTTTTAGTATTCCACCGAGTCTATTAAAAATGCCCTCCTACCCACCAAATGAAGTCAGCATAAATACAGATTTTTTATTTTTATTTTCATGTCCCCACAAACTACGTTTACACTACGTTCTCACCGGCCACGCCAGCCCTGTTTCAGGCCACTGTGGACAAAACGAAATTGTCGCGAGACAATGCGGAGAGGATGCAAACATGACAGGCCGTGATTGCTGTGGATGCCCGAGGAGATGTTTCAACTGTTAGACATTTACAGATCCCTGACAACACACCTGCATGAAAGGATACCCAACGCGTGTTTGTCCCACGCAGCCAGAGCCTGTTAGTGGGTTATCAGGCTTACAAAACCTCGGTAGAAAAACTGGACTGAAGAATGACAATAACTCAGAGGCCTTATGAACCTCCACTAACCACAAACAACCCTCAGCAGGGGACCATCAAAAAGAAACAAACAAAAAAAAAAAAGATCAACTTTCCAAACAGTTGGTGAAAGAAGCTCAGTCATAGTCGAAGGGTGACTATTCCCTCGCCAGGCACTTCAAGAGACACGACTGAGATGTTCAGTGAGCTTGCAGCTGCTGAGCTGAGACCGAAAGGCATTCCATGTGTCATCTTCATATTTCTATCAACTAAGGGGTTCTCAAAATGGGGTCTGTTGTGACTTTGGGGTACACAAAATAATTCAAATATAACATTTACTAAACATTTACTGCTCCCTCCGTACCTTTGTAGCAATTTAAAGCTGTGATAACATTTTAATGTATTATATAAATCTGATCTTACATCTCACACACACACACACATATATAAATCACAAGAATAAAGTACATTTTGAAAAATATGAGTCATGTTATCGTATCATCATGGCTTTTCATCTCAAATTTAGGCAACTTTTTATTTCCTATGGCATTTAGAGTAAATGTGGTCGTCTAAGTGCTGCTTAGTTACTGGTAACGCTGAGGAACGAACGATTTGAAAGGGAAAAAAAAAAGTTAGTCTTGGTTTTTCTCTTAACCTTGCAACCATGGGCATACCGCTGGAAATTTGCTTTATGCAGTTTTCCATCGTAGTGTTTTTGTTTACATACATACGCATTTACTGAATACTTTCTCAAGAAAACAGTGATACGATAGCTCAAAAAGTTGATGTGACAAGAGAAAAATTGAGATCAGTTTCAGATCCCGCAACCAAAAATAAGTTCAAAACAGCTGTCAGACCCGACTCAACAAAACACGTTCCCCAGTGTGATCAATAGAAATTCAAGTTGTGTTTCAAAGTTGATATATTAATCAGTCACATTTGTCGATTCCATGTCACACAATAAATATTGAAGGGATGAAGCAGCTATGTTAAGATTGTCTCACGTTTAAAAGTGACTTTGAAAGAAAAAAAAAACAATGTGCCAAAGTGACAGACAATAGTTAGCTAATGCCTCTTCACTGAAGATGTTTCACATGTATGAAATAAGTCAGCCAGAAGGAAAAAATAAAAATAAAAATCACATCTTCAACTGAAATGTTAAAATGCCCGCTAATGTGAGACCGGGCCTAGTCTGAGAATTCTTGTGCGTCATTATATTAACCCAGTATCTCATCCACAGCTATCCTGTGCCACAAAACTTTGGTATCATTCGTGGAATCGATGTATATAAACGCTAACATTGTCGTTTCAGAGATCAAAAAGTGTACCCATATTGCAAATCGCATGCGTCCCCCACCCCAATATGATGTAGCCCTGCAAGAAGCAAAATGTTAAAAGTTGATCGAAATGTTTCAGTCACTTTGGGATGGCACTGGAATATAATTTAGTTCAATATCTTATTATTCCACATCAAACCTATTTAAGGCCTAATCTCATATATGACAGAATCTACAAAGTGGACAGTAAATAAATGGCAGCCTTCATTGCTGTAGAAGGCAACTGGAAGCTCCTCGGCGTGTCAGTGACATTTACACCCTCGGTCGCCGTCTCAGGTTTTGCGATCACGCGAGTACAGACAACAACCAGAGAGCATATTTGCACTTTGCCGCATGACAAGAACGCATGCAGACGCTGAGTCGCATCTTTTGTGGAGCACGCGTGTTAGGACCCATGATCCACTGACTGCGAGTATGTGCGTGTTTGCCTCGACTGCCACAAAACTCATTCCTCGCTCACTCTTCCCAGTTCCCAGTGAAGGCATCACATTCACAAGTATTTTCTCGCCATTACCGGGATGCGTAGCCCATCTCGTGCAGCTTCTTCAGGAGGATTTGAGTCAGGTCAAAGGTGGTGAAGCTGATCCCCACTGCAATGGGCCCTTTGACCCAGTTCATACTGAGGCCTTTATAGAGTCCTCGGATAACCCCCTCCTCGGACACGATCTCCCTCATGGTGCCCAGGATGGTGCCGTACGTGTGACCCGTGACCCCCGCCGTCTGCATGCGCCGCCGTACCACGTCCAACGGGTAGGACGCCGACTGACCGATGAGGCCCGCACAGGCCCCAAAAGCCAGCCGTTCATACGAGTAAGGCTGCGGGCGCCCACTTCTCTCTGCGTCGGAGGGGACCGCATCAAAAGTTATGGCGGCAAAGCAATGTTGACACCGAAAACACAAAGACTGAGGTGAGATATGTTCTTCTTGTTCTTATATACTCTACCTGCATGAAGCTTCTTCAGCGTCTCGTAGGTAAAGAAGCTGAGGCCAGCGTAGGGGACCACGCCCAGTATAGTGGGCGTAAAACCTCGATACAGGGTCTTCAGTCCTTCTTCCCGGGAGATCCGCACAAACACATGCAAAATGTTGCTGTACCTAACAATAGACAAGCACTGTTTATTTTTTTTTTTTATATTACCGTATTTTCCGCACTAAAAGGCGCACCTAAAAGCCTTCCATTTTCTTAAAAGCGCCTTAAAATCCGATGTGCCTTGTGTATGGTCATTCCGGTAATATTTCAAACCCAAAATGGCTCCTTGCTCGAGACATGCTGACAACGCAGAGTTCGAACTTAAGGCGATCAAGAGAGTTCAACGTTAACGAATCAATGTTATAACTTGCTGATGGTTAAGTGAACTATGTCGCTGCTTCATTAAATAAGTTTTACTGACATCTGATCGTTCTGTTTGTGTTTGCTTGAGCGTAGCTCCATCTGGTGGATGCATTGTAGATTGCGTGTTATAATGCAGTGCGCCCAATGTATGAAAAAAATTACAAAATACGCCATTCATTGAAGGTGCGCCTCATAATCCAGTGCGCCTTTTAGTGTGGAAAATACCGTAACAATATTTACACTGCATATAGCGGTATTGATTTCTTTTGAATATTCCTGACAACTGTTGTCATGGTGACATTTCAGATGATCTTTTCTGTACGCAGGTCACTAGGTGATTACGGTTTAAAGTGGCCTTACATTTCTTTCGGTGTCACAGCCATTCGAGCTCGCACCATGTCCAGAGGATACGTCAACATGGCAGCAGTGATGCCGGCCATAGATCCGGCCAGTAACCTCGGGAGCGGTGGGAGGACCCTGGATCAAAACACCAAACCAGAAAACATCAGCTTTACACTAACCCGAACTTCATTGTAATAAATAAACGGTGTGTGTACGCAATGTTTTGAGGCTCACACTCACTTCCCCTGAAAGCCGTAGTAGTCACCCAGGAGACTTTTGTACTGCTCGTGCGCGCAGAACTGGATGGCGGCGTACGGAATGACTCGCACCATTGTGGCGGAGTTTCCGCGCCACAGCGCGAAGAAGCCATCCGTCAGGTATGTGCGGTAGATTAACCTGTAGGCCTCCTGAAATACACGCAGCAGCTTACTTTTCCACTTGTTGTCATACTGATTATGAATGACGAGCTCGAGAGGAATATTGTGGTGTCAATACTTCATCAACTCAAACTTACTTTAGCAGAGAATCTTGCTGAAGACACTTGGGGGGGGAAAAAAAACATAGTTCAAACTCAGTTTTTTGTGAAATTCAGTTGACATAAAAACTCTGCACACTTCTGTTGAAACGCGTGTTTTTTGGCGATATAACAAATGAGTGCGTGATAAATGGTGTAAAAACGCCAGATCAAGTTATATGCGGGTGTGCACACTTCTGCAACCATATTGACTCAAGTGCTTAATGCTCCCCTCACTAAAATATTGAAATGGAGCTGTATAGATTACAAGTCACATTAAGACACAGTTTCCGCATTTTGACCTGCCCGGCATCCAGTTTACCTTGAAAAATGATTTTAGTCCTGTCCAACGGCGCGACAGCAGTTTTGGCCACAGCTCCCGCTAACGCCCCCGAGAAGAGCGAGTTGAGGACAGAGCGAGTCTGCTTCAGGCCCTGTGCGGCAAGGAAAGGGTCCCTTTTGAGTTCACTCAAACACCTGCTGGGTACGGAAACCATTTTCTGTTTGGATTGCTGTAGATTATTAAATAGGAGTTGGCCCGAGAATGATTTGATGGCATCTGATGGGCAAGCTGACAAATCCGACGGGATGGCCTTCACAAATTCACAGTCAATTTTCCAGAAAAAATAACCAGTCAGACATAATATACATAACACAGCAGCTTCGCTACCCGTGAGAGTTTTGGGGCAGAATGCTACCAAAAAATAGCTAGTAAATGTACCAAAGGCAAATCTAAAATACTCGAAAGTTCAAACTATCCGGCGCTTCCTTTCAAAGGTAATGTGATGTCATTCGTTACCATTCTGGAGTTTGTCCACATATGCTGGGAGTTGATGTTCAGAGCCATTCAAGAAAGCGCTCAAAGAGAAAATGAGCATGTCATGATCCCGACCGTGTACTCACTCACTTCTGACTGAGTGGAGGCCCGCGGCAGCACTTCTCCGTGGGCGAGTGCTGCACGTTGATCCTGGACTCCACTCCCCATGCCCGAGGACTACCAGTAAGACACCGCTGCTTCCTCGGAGCGCATTCATGAATCCCACCACCGGGAGGGCAATCGCTCTGTGAGCTGAAGAGAAGAGAGAGGGGTCAGAAGCAACACACATTTCATTTCAATGGGGGAAGAACTTTTAATTAGACACAGCACCATTTGAGATTACATTATTTTTCGAAACGATAGAAATAGCTTTTAGAGGGACTCAAACATGTCGTCAAAGTTTGATCTTCATTTTGAGCAGGGGTGTCAAACCCATTTTTGTCGCGGGCCTGATTTTAGTTCCAGTTTCCCTTGTAGGGCCATTATGACTGAAACCATATAAAGAAGTCAGGAATAACAGTTTTTTTCGCCTATTGTTTAAGTTGTTGAATTGAGGGGTTTGGTAACAAGAAAATGCTTACAGTATCTCATTATTGATTACAAATGAGAAGTTGAAATTTTGGTACAGATTTTAGCAAGCATCGTGAAAGTTTACATCTTTGATTTGCTTTCGCAGGCCACATCATATGATGTGGTGGGCCAGATCTGGGCCACGGGCCTTGAGTTTGACACCTGTGATTTTCAAGATCTGCTCGAAAAAGTAGGTCGTCGCTGTTTGGTGACTTCATATTTAGTGGTCGTTTTTTTACAGGGCTCGACAGATTTGGGATTTAGTTTTGCCTACCTGGCCACGATTTACGAATTAACGCTTAATGACAGTACATACTGCTGAATTGTTATGGTATGGAATCACTCACTGGCGTGTCCGTTATACATTTAGCCACTTGGAAACAAGACCCTGGACAAAGTGACGTCCCAAAATAACATCTGAAGAGCAACGCTGTTGACTTGTCGGTGAAAGGTGTCCGGTGGGCCACCGCCGAGTGAACAATAACCGTGTCGGTTCCTTGCTTGCTCCGCGGGTTTGACTTTCCACGCAAAGTATCGTCAAACTTGCCAGTAGTGAGCTTCTGCGAGCTCATCATTTTAGCAGGTGATCACTTATTTATGTGTTGTTTAACCTCTCAAGCCTCCAACCTCATTGCGACAGCACAGGTTTCACAGTCAATAATCAAACTAAAAGATGGAGGTAGATATGCAGTTCTCTCTAACTGGGAGCCCGGATGTCGCTCGACTGTGTAATAAGTAGTCGGGTGCATTCTTACAAAAAAAAAAACAAAAAACAGTTCAGCGATTGTATTCTTTCTTCAATTTACCCTTTGAGGGACAGCAGTTACTGCAGTGGACAGCTTATTATGCTATTGGGTTGAAGGGTGCATGAAAGGGAGAACATGCTGTACAAAAGTGATCAGCGACTAAAACAACACACAACTCACATGACAGACATACTGTTAAGGTATTTTTTTTACCATTCAAATTTGACAGGATTGTTCACAACACTGCTGACTTTTTTTCTCTTTACAGAGCCTTTAATTAAACCACTGAAAGTGCTGATGTAACATTTCCTGTATATTTAATCAAGGCTTTATAATGGTAAAGGTTTGACTCTTTTGTTCCATTTATAATATTTTCGATGGAAATGCAATCTCTTCAATTCTGACTAAACCCGAAGAGTTTTCCGTATTGGCATTTAAAAACCATTTAAGCACAAAACCCACTTGACAATACAATGTTTCATTAAGGGTGACTGCCGATGCCGAGTCTGCAAATTGGTTTGAAAAAGGATCAAAGCTATGTTGAATCAACAGAACAAGATAATGAGAGGTAACCAGGAAGAGAGCCAACAAGGGGCTCCTGTGGAAAAGTGGGCTCCTAATACTGGCCTCATTACAACAGAATTTGCAGCCAGATCCTGACATGAGCAGCTTGGGCCCTGAAGTGTCCCCACACATTTTGTTTCTAATTCACATCACTGCTGAGCAAGTTCTGACTATCTCCCATCTCTGTTATTATCCTGTGGAATTATATATACTTTTTCAATAATGAGAATACAAAGCTTCCACTTGTTGTGTTCATCAGCTGCTCAAAGTACTTTTCCCCTTCAACATAGGCAAAACTATCAAGTGATAAGATACAAGAGTGGGTCACACCACTTTGGGTTAGCTTGGATTTGAAAACTGTCGTTTGTGCCATTGTTATATTACGCTTCTTTGGCACACATAATTAGATTTTATTTGAGCGCGGACTTTGTATCGCCCTCACCTTTCATCTTGATATGTATGGCTTTCCCTATCAATGACTTCAGCACACTTATTAGTTGAATCCAGTTAAGACCATGGAGTCTGAAGTCTGTATTCTGCTCATATTCAGTCATACTGTATCACTTTCCGATGCCCACAGCGTAGCTTGGTGTCCTTGAAGAAATCATCACCTAGAATTGGAATACTCCCTGCTGGAGACGCACAAACTTTGGAATGCGCCAAGCTGAAAATCGGTTTAGGAGAAACGAAAGTTATGATATCACACCTTGTGCCTCGGTACCACTCTTCTGATAGTATAAAAGTGATGTGAATCTCTTCCTGCTTCGCACTCGTGACCCGCAGCCATTGTCTGTAATTCGCGGGTGCCCGGAATATTCTGTTATTAAAAGCTTTGAAGAAACTGTTCATCGATTCCAGCCTTTATTTGAAGAACCAACATTCTCCTTGTCCAAAATTCAACGAACGCGCGGAGGAAAGAAGGCCACTTTCCCCCCAACAAGTCACACATTGTTCCATTGGCTGGACAAAGTCGCCCACCCTGTGTGGGTGCAGCCAAGATCATTTTGGACAAGGTGGTAAGACTTTCTTCAGCATCTGGCAGAAAAGGCTCCACAGCCGTGCACTAGATCTTTTAGGCATCCGTTAAATAGTTCCAACAGTTATTCGGTAGTTCATGTGAGTATAGCGGGCACTAAAGATAAAGGAAAGTTCACTCTGAACTTTTTCATTTGGTTCCCTTGAACGAGAATCCAATCCAAGTCGCGGCGGTGAGAGGAACGAATCCTAAACCACTTGACTCAAAAAGCGATCACAGAACTTTGCTGACACACTACCGTGGAATACAAGTAAAGGAAGCGTTCTCAAGCACGTTAACTTTGTACTTATAATGTCTGGGCACGTTCTTCATATATATTTTGTCCTCAATTTTGTGGAGACCCTCTTGGCTTTCGGACGTCAAGTCATCACCTTGTGCCGTCACCTGCCTTGAAATGACACATTAACAGCATGACACACAACCGGTTGCTTACCCGATTTGACACCGGCACAATTTCCAATGCTTTGGAAAACTTCTCCCCGTTGGATTGTCCAAGCATAAACTAGTATTCCTAGTAGCCGCCTTTCGGCATTCAAGTTAGCCAGATATCGGGTTAGATAACGCTAGCGAGCCGTTAGCTCGCTGCTACACAACTGCTTGTGTTCATTTTTTTTTTTTACTGGAGCAAATGCGCCGCGGTAGACGGAAGACAACTCTGCGGCGTGAAATGTACGCTGACTTGTAAGTAATTCTATCATTCAGTCGCGCAGAGGCGACTTGGAGCGGTTGACATCGTCCATGCTTGCTGCTGCTCCTGTCACAAACACAGCCCAAGCCGTCCCTCCCTCCGTCAAGTTGACAAGGGCGAGTGGAGATGCATTATGGGAAATGTAGTCTGACTCGGGCTGAGCGTGTTCGGATAGGCCCGATGGTGGGGCGTCAACAGGAGTTCAGAGCATTAAAATTCGGACTTGTTTGACCTTGAATCTCACACCCAAATGTGAGCATAGTTTTAACTGTTTCCCTGTACAGAGTAAATGTCTTTTAAATTTGACACACCACACTATCCAAGTACCCTTTGTCAACCGTCGAGACTTCAAATGTATTTTTCTTCATCTGTGCCAGAGATGGAGAGTGACAGGTTGAACAATACGTCTTCCAGTAGTTGGCAGAAGGTGCAGTTTATGTGTATCAATCCATTGTCATTCATACAACATAAAAGTAGTTTGGTGTTTAATGTAACAGACCCAGATTTCACAATTAATTTGTGAATACATTGAGATGAGATTCATATAATTTCAGTCTACCACATATATCTTCTGTGGCATTTTATTTTGGTGGTGTGCTATGAGATGTTTCTCATTTAAAAAAAAAAGGGTAGAGGACTTTTTAAAAACTATGCATATTCATCCGTGATGCACCAGTGTGTTATAGATACATTATGTGCAAACAATATATCAAAAAGGAATAAAAGACATGCATAACAACTATCATGGCATTGATAGACAAAGGCTTCACCATGATTACACAACGGTCAAATAAAAACCATATTCCAAGACGGTGAACATGATGCATATTCACATGAATTGACTTTTGGCAACTTGGAGCTTCAAGTAAGCCAACTTCATAAAAAAATCAAATTTGAATACAATAGAGGAAAGTGAAAAGGAACTTTCCTTGTGGATTTAGTCGACGGTGTTTCCCCCACTCAAACATAATGCCGATTGCCACATTTCCTCAGATTGTAGTTTGTTTTGCTGAAATAATTTCAGGAACATTTACTATAATATTACATCGCGTTTCATGGTCGCTCTCCTCTTGTTTCAGTTAGTGATGCCGCCACGTTTGCCGGTCCACAGCTCCCTTAGCTCCACCTGGCAGCCCAGATCCCTGAGGGCAGCCTTAGCAGCGTCGCCGCAGTCTTGGTGGGTCCGTAGCGCTTGCAATATGAGGGCCTCCACACCCATGTCCAAAATTGGTTGGCTGTAGTTGGGCTGGTGTGAAACTAGGTTTCTCAGCAGCATGCATGCCTGTTTCTGGTTATAAAAGGTAGAAAAGGACACGTTAAGCGTCTCATTTTACATTTGAAGTTAAATGAAGTGTGAGTGGTTGTGAGTCTCCATGTGCCCTGCGACTGACTGCCTGGTGATCAGTCATGTTATGCTTACCTGCACATGAACAATACCGGGATGTGACCTCATAGCCTGCACGGCAGCTAAGGCTCCTCCTTCCTCCATGATGACCTTGCAGTTGTTGGGCTTCCGTAAAGCCAGGACGGAAAGGCATGCACAGCCCTGCTCACACACCTGAATAAGGATATAAAATGGATGAACTATATGAACAAAGAATTTCTATTGTATAGTCCTAAGTGGCAAATAACAGGGCCCCGACTGATTAATCAGATGAAAATGCAATTTTTTGGAACATAGACACATTACAACATAAGACAAAGGAAATCCAAACACCACTGAGTAAAAAAAATAATAATAATAATAAAATATGGCCATTTTTCCGACCTTTCTCTCTGTTGTTAAAAGAACGTTTTAGGTCAAAGTAAAGTCAAACAGTCAAATGATTTGCCTATAATTCACACCTGTACTGTTGTAAGCATTAAGGGACCAAAATACACATTATTTTATTCTTTTTTTTTTTTTTTAATTAATCAGCTAATTAATCGGTTAGCGGAAATGTATTCTGCCAAATATTGCAATCGGCTTTAAAAAAAAAAAATCCATATCAGTCAGGCCCTAACACATACAATTCATAGCAATGGCTTACAGCAGAGATTGTCACGTGTCTGTTCATGGCAATGACAATGAGCTGGACCCCACCCGCTTTAACCACCGCATCTTTCACGTCATCATTTCCCGCGACAGCTCGTATTGCACTCAGGACCTGCCGCACCAACTCCTGAGAGGGGAAAAAAGAAGCTCGGTGACAATGTTCATGGATTACAGACATCTATAACCTCTATGTTTGTACCGCTGACTCATAGCTGTCTGCGAGCAGTGTCATAATGAGCTTCAGTCCACCCAGGTCACAAATGTCTTGGCAGAACTCGTTCCTTACGGCCAAACGGGACAAGGTGGCACACAGCTCACTCAAAACAGAGATATTGTCATCGTGAGCTGAAGGTAGAAAGACATGTGGAAATTACATTAAGAAAATAAGACATCCACAAGATGACACAGAGGAAAGGTATTGTCTATTTTCCACGGACGTCACTCCAAAGATGAAGAATCAAACCATCATCATTAGGGCTGAAATAATTGAATATATTTTTAAGTGATTATTCTCGTAGTTATGCCATTGATATGCCATGTGATCTACTAAAACTTGATTTTGCATTATTCAACAAACAAATGTGCACGGGAGGCGCTTGTACTACTGTTGTCCACTTGGGGTCACTATCATCACTTCCCACCATACTTTAAACTCTATGACTGAGTTGGTAACATTTATTTTGTGCATGCTTTAATGTCTTGTATGCACTGTAGAGATTAGCCGGTCTCACCTTTTGCAGACTCAATTAAGACTTTCAGGCCGTTGTGCTGGAGAACAATCATCTTGGCGTGCTCATGAGCATGCCCAAACGTAACACGGATATCATCGTCAAAGGTCATGATCCTGAGAGCTCCAGAGGCTTCCTTGACCACCTCGGCACATCCACTGTGCTGTTTAATGGCATTTGTCAGTAAAGGCAGGACGCCCGCTTTGACCAAATCCTGTCTGTTCTGCTCATGTTTCAAACAAGAATGACGCACAGCGGAGATGGCAGCTCGTGTCAATGAAGAATCAGCATGGTACCTCTTGAGAACGTCCAAAAGGAAGTTCTTGCCATCTGCATCGAACAAGTCTGGCTGTCCATCAGTCAGCGCAGCTAAGGCGGACAGAGAAGCCAACGTGGCTACCTGATCTCCCACGCTCTTTTGGCAGTAGGAGAGGATGATGGGATATGCGCCTTTCTGGGCTGCCAGGTACCGTTGAGCGAATCCAAGTGAACATTGCTCACTGAAGCACTTTATATCTAATGCCACTTTCGTGCTGTCAGGCGAGTCTTGTGCAATGCGGAGGGACTCGAGGGCCTGCAAGTGAAAGAAATATGATACTGGACTGTATAAGGGGTGGACACTATATGAAGCCGATTATTAGGATGTAGAAGATATATATACCTGTAAGATCTCATGCGTTTGCGCCTGTTGTTTGTCATCTGATGACACAGCAGGTACAGCTTTTACAATACAACTGAGGTCCACACCTGCAATATACACATCAGTTATCTATGATAGATTACACCGAGTCACTGTCAATTAACAAATGATCATATATCTTCCAGGAGAGATTTAGCTAAATAAGCTTAGCCTTTATCAAATTGTGCACGTGTATCTAATGTTGAGGGCGAACAGCTCAGCTAAGAGATTCCTTCCAGTTCATAATCCATTAACTATTTAATGGTTTAACCTCGAAGGTTAAACACACGCATTGTTCACCCAATGTAACTTGTCATGATTCAGCAAATTGTGCATGCGAGTTACCAAGAAACAAACCAGTACATTTATGGTAACTCTGGCCACAATACCTTGAGACTGAAACTGCTCCACAGCCTCCCTCAAAGCGTCGTCGGGATCCATTTCAAACTCGTCGATATTTTCCCTCACTGCAGCATCAAATGTTTCCTGAGTGATCCTCCGTAGAGCCATTTTCAGATCACCCGCCCGTTTGTTCGCGTTTCTAGTTGAACTTAATATATCTATTGCGCAATAACCTTGCTTAACTGCAGTTTTGTTTTGTTTTTTAATCACAAATAACAAAGTAGTTAACGCCCTGTGTTTTCCCTCTCTGTAATCAATAAACCTTGCACGGTCGATTTCCGCAGTTTACGTATTGGCGCTCTGCTTCTGGTAAACTTGTACGTCGCGTAATTTGTGCCGGTCTGTTTTAGTGAATTGCCGTCTGCGCAAAACGGTCCTACTTCTTTATGTGCTCGGTTGAAACATACAACTATGTATAGTTCCATGTCTTTTGAAAGCAGCGAGAAATGTCACACTGAGTGGTTTACATGGTTCAAGAGTATTCCACCCAGCTGTCTTCGGGCAGCAGGCGGGGGACACCCTGAACCGGTTGCCAGCCAATCGGATCAAGAATAGTGTAACATTATTTAATACACGAACGGGTGGTAAATCATCATTTACTCAGACATTTTATTGGGTGCATTAATAACCATTTAGGCAGCTAACCAACAAACTATGACTCCATGTTAAACTAAGGTTAGATAAAGTCAAGTAATGACCCCTGTAGGTAATTTGAAAATATATCTGTCAATAGACAGACGGACGGATTGATGGATGGATGGATCGATAGATAGATTGAGGAGACAAATTGGATGGATTGGCAAAGGAGTTTAAAAGCTGAAATCAAAAGAAACATAATCTGTCCCATGTTGACAACTGAAAAAGGAAGATAAAATAAACCATAAAACAAATACCAAAAAAAAAAATCAATATTAAATTCATAGCATTTGGACAATGTAACAGTAGAAGGCTGTTTGTGGCCATAAACTGAGAGGGAGTTATTCAGTTAGTCTGTCACTGCACAAGAAAATAATGATGCATAAAATACCCCATATTACAATTACTTGCAATGGTGGTTAAAAAAATGCATAGCTTTTACTACCCCAAACAATGAACAAAAATGCTTCTATGCACTGAAAATCATTGTTTAAAGGAATAGAATTATCATAAACTGAACTGTTTTCGTTGCTTTGCTTCTGAATATTTTTAACTGTTGTATTTGTAAATTATTTTAGGTATTATGTCTTTGCTTGTGTGAAGCACATTGAATTGACTTGAGTTTGAAATGTACTATAAAGCTGACTTGCCTTATTCGCAATGCAAAACCCACATGCATCTTTATCGTTCAAAAAGGTCATCGTATCTCAGTTTGGTCACTGTTATTTTTATTTTTTGAACAACCTGTTGTGTCCTGCTTCTCTCAGACCGGAATTAACCCTTTGAGTCTCTTGAAATGATTATCTTTTTCTATCTATTAACAATACAAAATTAGTAATTGATTATTTATTTCACAGGTCAATTCAAAGGATGGAGCGTAAGGCCTCCATCAAACCCCTCCTTCAAATATTGTATTAGTATTATAAAAAATACATATTTGAGATCCTAATGATAAGCGGAACAAAGAATGGATGAATAAATAACCCGCTATCCAGTCATCATGAAGTCTCTCGCTGTTTATCTGGTGGCCAACAGCGCGGCAGCCGCACGTCACGCCACCAGGGGGTGGAGACTATTCATAATGAGTTTGAACTTCTGGGACGCTTGAGGCTTTCTTGGACGCAGCGGAGAGGAGCCGTTTCCTGCCAAATAGTGAGACGGTGTTCGTCGTCACTGCAGTAGTCTCTTCCTGCATTCATTGTTACGGCGCTTAATGAGGATTAAGTTGACGCCGTCGTCTGGCTGCCGGCGGCCCATAGGCCCGCCTCCACATGGACAGAAAGAATCCGGAGTTTGATGCAGTTTAATTTTGGGCTAACCCACTTAACCCCTAAAGTTTTACTCTATTTTATCTTGGCACCAGATTTTGCCTAAAGACTACTGTAAACAGTGGTGCATTGGTTTACGAGTTTAATTTGTTCGGTGGTCATGCTCGTAACTCAAAATACACATGACTCAAATCATCTTTGCACAATGAAATGAATGGATATGGCATTCATCAGCTCCACCCCAGCCCCCCCTCCCAAAAAAAAAACACTTGTGACTATATTTTATGAATAAGATATCACGCTACAGTATTGTACATTATAAAAACATACAGTAATATCATAGACAGACATCATGAGAGGGCAATGTAAGACACAGGCATGCATAATACACAAAGAGGAGTTTGACAGCTAAATGACTCAGTAAGATGCAGTAATAGTCGTTTTTCTCAGATGAATAAAAATATAGATATATGCCTGTGAGTATTGTTATGTCTGTTTACATTTGTTGCTGCACCATTTGTGTCACAATATCCATCATTTAGAGGATAAAACAACTGCAACATCAATGAAAGTTGTACTTTGCTAACTCTGTGTATCAATACAGAGAGGACACAAAGTTAGCATGTTGCTGTGTAAACATGATTATTTTTAAAGAATTTACATTCAATTCACTCAATTTTAAAATGAACACCATTGCTGACAACAGGGGTGGCTAATGCCCCATCAGAAATCTGTGTAGCCACAGTGAAGCCGCTCCCGCATTAAAAAAATAAAATAAAAAAAAGAACATTTCTTCATAAATAATTTTTTCAGTGCCCCTTATGTATCAGTCAACCCCCCCCTTTCGCCCCGGGAGGGGAAAATTCTTGTGCAGTTCCTGTTTGACGATAAAATAAGTGACGGTATAATCAAGCTAATCATTTTGAGCACTTATTAGGCCTACTAAGCTTCTGAATTTTAATATTGAACATGAGGGTGGTACTTTTGGACCCGAGGATTTTTTTTTTAGGTGTTTGGTGGAAAAAATTGAAAACCATTGCCCTGATGGATTCACAGTGGTACTACAGCACCACCTATTGGCATAAATGTGCTTCTGAACGTGTAAGATGTTGGAGTAATCTATAATAAACAAAAAATAGAGGGGATGCTAGTTTAACAATATAAGACACCGTGTTGCATTTTACCCTACTACTGTAACTAATAAGAATCTGGAACTTTATAAGAGCAATTAGTATGTTTTTCTTTTAATTTCTAAATAAAACTGAACATTAACATTCAAACTACGTTATTTCTCATAGCCCTCTATTGGCATGAAGTAACAAAGTACAAATACTACTACACTGTTGTACATTTGACTGTATCATTCAATAACGTGCTTTGTACTCGAGTACATTTCAGAGTCTGTACTTTATTACTTTTACAAGTACAAGAGTTGAATTGGGACATCTACTTTCAAAGTCTTTTTAACACAAGCATTGAAATACAGAGTGGGAGTATTTTGCCACCTCGGAATACTCTCTGAACACTCTACAAATATATTGTTACATTTCCAGTTATTCCTGTTATTGCGTCCAACGTGGGACACAAATAGTCACTTTTCAGCTAGGTCATTACCAGAGTAATTAATTTAGTCAACAGTTTAATTACTTGCGTTCTGAAATGCCAACATCACCACGTTTTGCAAGTCAGAAAGTTACTCAGACTTGTCATGAACACCTTGACCATCCTGTAGCCTTTGAACAAGCACCGTGAGGAATCCATGTAGAATCTCAGAAGAGTTGCCAAATATGTTGTCCTAAAATCCCAGTCAGATTCCAACTCATAAGTGGGAGTCAGTACACATCTGCCGCCATTTAAAATGCCCCTCACAATAAAATGTTTAAGGAAAAATTATTCACAATATGTAGAACATAATGTGCTGATAAGGCACAGTCACATTTTTATTTTTACTTTGATTACTAAGCCATCTGATTGGTTTCTCTTGCCAAATGGTAAATAGCTTCATATGACACAGGCACAGGAGATAAGTCCTGTTTAAACATTTGATCCAAACCAGGCGTTTGAAAACTAAGTTGCTCTCCCGTTTCTGGAGTTGACCGCCAACTTCTTAATGCCTGCTTAATTTTGACCCTTTGCCCTTGATCAAACCGATTACTGTTACTGCAACCAGGAAATCTACCAGAGACTAAACCATTTTATTTAACAAGCGTTGATAGAGCTTTGAGACTTGACTTTGAAGGTATCACTTCTATAAAAGGGCGCCCCATGAAATTGGACAACAGCTCATAGATGGATTTTATTTGATTTTATTCCTAATAATATTGAGGAACCGAAAAGAGGATCGAGAGCAGTTTACCATTACCTGAAAAAAAAAAAAAAGTAATCCATCCAATTTTATTAACAGAGAATTGAAGCGATGCCTTTCTGCAGACGTATACAAGTCAACGTATGGCCTCAGGAGGTGGAGTGGCAGGATGAGAGGAGGGAGACAATCAGACCTGATGACACAGCATCATCTAAAGAGAAGCTTAGGAGGGCAGAATGAAGCTGACAAAGCACTCAATCGTACCAACCCCCACCTGTTAGAGAGCGGTGGCCCCCCTCGCACTCCAGTGCTTATGCAGACTTCTTGTGCTCACATCAGATGTACAGTAGTATGATGGGATTGTGGATGAGTTCATTCCTCAGGGATGTAATAAAGAGTTGACAGCCAGTGTGTGGACCTGGGTTTTGGGCTTGTGTGACTGCTTTAGAGCCCCTTGGTGTTAGCTTAAAGAAAGGCGAAAAGGGGAGGAGGGCAGGAAAAATATAAAGTCAGACAAGATAGCCAGAGGTGGCTTCCGGCTGGTGTGGCTGCTTACAGTTTTTCATGTATGTATGGGCAACTTGTACATGCAAATCATACATATATATAATATACATCCACAAATGCTACATTGTAATAGCTCTTAAACTAGGTAGTAGCCTAGCAAAATGCCCCCCACCCCCTCTCCAAAAATAAAAAATAAAAAAATAGCACATAGCATCCCTTGTAACAGAAAAACTGGCGCATGGAGGGCAAAATGAATGATACCACTGGCTTCAGTTGGAAAAATTGTTTGGGAAATATTTATGTCATTCTTGTTACATGCATGCACGGTGGTATTTGGAGTGCCATGTTTTTTTTCGATGGTACCTGTTGCAAAACATTTCAGAATCGCTGGTATAAAAAGGTCATTATATGTTTGACATAGCTCTGCGTTCGGAGGCCAGGAAGAGAAGGTTTAAAACATATATATTAAGAAGACCAATCCTTACAATATCACTTAAGGGGTAAAACAAGTTTGAACTCTGTTAGTTTGTTTTAGTTGCCAACATATACACATTCTGTTGACACAAACTGCATTCAATGAATATGTATCAAGTGCTTTAGGTGAAAGAATGTGGTGGCTCCACAAATAACGTTACGTCTCGAGCAGTTGTGTTGGGGTGGGTGCCTTTCCTGAGGCTAATTGGCACTTCTCCAGCAAAAACTTACAATATTTTGCGACTGCACCGGGTCGTAAACTGGCCATCTCCCAGCCCCCAGGCAAGTTCTACACAGAGTATGCCTTTGCATGTACAACGGCAGTGTTTTTGTCATGTCATAGTGATATCTTCAAATCATTGATTGGTGTAACATACAGGGAGACTTTGCACATAATGTGTAGAGAACCAATGTGAAACCATTTCTTCACCTTGTATTACTTTTTTATTTTCTCAGGTTTTATGAGACCTGAAGTGATCAAGAAGAGAGATCCTCTTTTCAATGAATTTGCATTGTGAGCACATACTCTGTGAGCTCCTATATTTTGTTGTTCTACTTCTTCCTTTCATAACTTTGCTGCTGTGTATTGGGAATTTCTCCATTGCGAGACTAATAAAGGTTTTCTTATCTTATCTTATCTTATCTTACACAGGACATACACGTTGCATGAAATGAATATGATTACTGTATGTATGAAATAGAGACTTCTGGAGTGAACTCCAGATAGTTCTTTTACACCCTGCAGCAATTAACACTACAGTACTTCCATATTTGACAAGTTGATGATCCAGCACAGCTTCTTGGCTTGGTTGAGCAGTAAAGCCAGTTTTGTCATTGCTGCAGGACTTTTCTCTGCTTTCGTTGTTGAAGGACTTGCAATGGGAGGTCAGTTCTACAAGGCCAAAATTACAAATGATGTGTTTGGTGCAACCGTTCATCACCAAAACAACGCCATAATGTACCCACAGTGAAGATGGTGGTGGCAGCATCATTTGGGGCTGTTTTTCCTCAGCTAAAACTGGGGCCAAAGTCAAGGAGGAGGAAATTATGAACAGTTCCAAATCCAACACAGGCTGAAATTTGATTCGGTGTTAATCAGAGGCACTTTAATTGCTGGCAGGTGTGTGCGGACTACCAATTAACATGATTGGACAATTCTGAACACAGCCACATCCCAGTTATAAGAGGGTATCTGTTTTCTTTTCATTGAACTTCCTGAAATCCAGTGCCATGCAGGCCTTGACTTCCTCCAGACAGGACAAAAGTCTCAACAATGAGAAAGTGTCCTTTTTCGCTCAGTGGGACACAGATCCGACAGTCATCTGCATAGTAGTGAAAGGAAATACAATGACTACTTAAGATGGAACCCAAAGGGAGGAATGAGAAAAGCAGAAGCCCCAGAATTGAAGCCTGTGGAACACCATACGACAGTGGTGCAGTGCAGGACTCAAAGCAGCTAAGGCTAACAAAAAAGTTCTGTCAGGCAAAGAAGATTTAAACCACTCAACGGCAGTACCACTAATACCCACCTGGTGCTGCAAACGAGCCAACGGAACACCGTATTCCATCGTACAATAATAATATGAGGCATAAATTCCTTATCCTCTGTGTAGATGAAGAAGGACTAATATTATTGCATTTTATTGAGGAGTATTGACTGGCTCCATGTTTATATGTAGGTCTGTATTGTACTGCCCTCAGGTGGTAAGGATGCACAGAGAGAGGAAGCAGCACAATAGCCATTGAACTGAAGCAAAAAAAAAAAAGTGTGAATAACAGTTTATTTCTTTACTTCTTCTTCTTCTTCTTCTCCTTTCGGCACGTCCCTATTCAGGGGTCGCCACAGCGAGTCAGTTGATTTCTTTACAATATAATTAATTATGTCATTACTGTCTGTTTTAATAAAGTATTAAACATTCCTATTTTTAATGGTTTCATTTCAATGCTGAAAACTAATTTGAGTGTCTTGAGTTACAAGCATGGTCTCAGGACGAATTAAACTATTATCTCAAGGCACAACTGTGTATATTTAATGTACTTTCTTAAAAGTATTGGATTTTTGTTGAATCTGTTCAAAATGTCGTAAGGTTGTGTCTTCAATCCTCAAGAAATGATGACGTAAAGCACAGATATGTGAAAAATCAAAGTACGGTAAGACATTCCAGTGGTGCCTTGAGATACGAGTGACCCGACTTAAAAGTTTTTCAAGATAAGAGCTGTAGATTAGATGATGTTTTTGCTTTGACTTGCGAGCACTAATTTCACATGAGTGCTGGCAGGTGACTTTTACTCAATTCACCACCAGTGGCAATTTCGCCAATGTAAAGAGTAAATAAAGTAATTTCTTCAAAAAGAGGCTTCAAGCCGTTTGTCGAGTTTTAGTTTAATTTACGTGCACTCGATAAACACACCATATATTTAAGAAAAAAAAAACTCATAAAAACTTAACTTAAAATGAAGCATTTTCCAGAAAAATAAAAACTGACCAAAACTAACAACACTGCTCTCAAAAAAATAATCAAAACTAACTGAATTTGAAAAACAAAAGTCAAAATGAAATAAAAACTAACTATAATGAAAAATCCAAAATTAATGTAACCCTGATCTCAAGGCCCCACTGCACTTCGTTGCTTCCCACAACCGACCCCGTGTGGCTATTGTTTATGGCAGTTCAAGTGTAATATGCACACATCAATACTGTAACATGCTTGTTGAGAATTCTGTCGCGTGCCAGGGGCAATCAGTCCAGGGTCACCCCTCCACCCCTCTCCCGAAGACCTGTGAGGGGCTTCCTGACTTTGCTCATCCTTCCTACCTTGGGCCTTGGTGGTCATCGGTCTACATGATGTGATCCCGTCGCCCTGGTATGCCGAGGTGCGCATGCCCACTAAAGAGGACGCAGCGGCTCCATGTGTGTTGAGGCGCATTATTTGGCAACAGACGCGGCAGCGGGGAGGGCCGAAAAAAAGAGGATATCCCCTTGATTTCAAAAAAGCAACCATTTATCCAGGTTAACAGCAGATTAAACATTCCTTGGTCGACCATCGGCGACGAGCGGGCGACAAAGCGACCGAGTAAGTTGACTCTGTGTGTGTTGGAGGGGTGAAGCCGAAGTTTTTAGTGAGTGGATCGAGGGGAGCCTTTTATTCGGTCTCGTCGAGAGGAGCCAGGTCTTCCTCCACCTATCTGTGACGATAAAGAAGCTGATGGGCTGTTGAAAAGTAACACTTCTCCGCAGAGCCAAAGGTTGAGCCGTGGGAAAGGGAGCGGGGTCCCGCTCTGGCTAAATTGTTTCTTTTTTGAATGTTCTGAAGCTTGTCGCGCTTACCGGAGCGGATCTTGTTCGGCGAAATGGTGAAATGAAGCGAGGGTTATAACGTTTCCTCGCCGGCGGCAAGCTCCGCTTGTGGGCCGGTCGGTTACGTTACTGAGTTCCGACCCGACCATTTTCCCTCGGGAGGGGGACAGAAAGGTAAACACCACTACCCCGATTCGCTACACTCAAGTTTGACTTTGTAAAAACAAGATGTTTTTGAAAGTTTCTGCCCCCTTCGCTTGAGATGACGGCTGTCCCGCATCGGAGAGCAGCCAGGTCAGCAATTCGGGCTCGGTTCTGAACCGTGTGGGTCTTGTTTACAAGTGACTGTCCGCTCGGGGGACTTTTTTTTCTAAATCACTTTGACTGGACGTGTTTGTTGTTGCCTTTTTGGTGGCTTCATGTGAGCCTTGAACATGCGTGCTATAGTGACTGCTTGTTGTTGTTTGTGCGGCGAAGCTAACGTTAGCTCGCTAACTCCTTCGCGAGCTCACCTCCTCTGAGGCGGTGTCAACATGAAAAAGCCGGCTAGTTGCACATGTACTGTGGGCTGGCTTTAGTTTTTAAAGGGCCGACTTTGCTTTCTGGGCTGTAGCGGGGCGGTGGAGCTTGGACGGCGGAGGTTGCAGTCCGATTGAAGCCCATGGCAGCCACCAGTCTTGGTTCTGCTATCTAGTTGCTAATCTTCCTACTTCTCGCTGTGACAACCGTAGTCTTCCTCCTCTTAAAGCTGAACACGCACACGTGCAGTGCACGCGCGCGCGTGCACGCGCACACAGACCCTCACGCACACCCCGTACACATGCAGCGTGTCAAATATTCCATGGCTTCAATGTTTTCCAAGGTTTCTTGATGAATCAGATGGAGCCGATCTTTTTTCGTATTCATTTTCAACAAGTTGGTTGGCACGGTGGTCGACTGGTTAGCATGTCCACCTCACAGTGCAGAGGTCTGGGGTTTCGATTCCCGGCTGCTGGGTGGGTTTTCTCTGGGTACTCCGGTTTCCACCCGCATTCCAAAAACATGCACGTTAGGTTAATTGAACACTCTAAATTGTCCCTAGGTGTGATTGTGAGTGTGAATAATTGTTTAGGTATGTGTGCCCTGTGATTGGCTGGCAACTAGTTCTGGTTGTACATCTTGAAAATTATCCAGGCTCATTGAGGACAAAACCTCTAAAAACCTTTGCAGAAACACTAAAACACCTTTCCATGTGGATCGGGCCTGACCGAAAATCAAACAATACCCGCTTAAGGTCCATTTACTAGTGCACAATTTGTCCTCACTCGTAGGACATTTCAGCAGATTAAGGGGCATTTGTCATGTCTCATGAGTAGCATTTTTTACCAATACAATGGGCAAATTTTGCCAACTAGTATGGGAATTTGAAGAAAAAAAATCTGAAAGGTCTTCCACATCTCTGATATGGATTAAATGCTAGAACATCTTTATACGGCTTAATGTCCATATTAAAGTCACTAGTAGTACAACGTTGGCATACTAGTAGGACAACTACATCTTACTAGCGAAGCAAAACTGAGCACGAGTTGACAACTGCATGCAAGTACTCCGAGTAACATTAAACTTCTTCGAGCTCACATCGAGTGCTTTGCACGTAGTGCACAGATGTCAAGTAGTGCACAGTTTAGCCTCACCAGTGCTAGCGAGAACAAAGAGCATACAAGTACATGGACCTTAAGCTGAATGTCAAGAATGTCAATTGTCCCATTAATCACGTCATTGTTGTTGCATAACAGCGTGCCGGATCACCGTCAGCTGGTTTCATATTGAACAAATAAATAAATGATGACCGTACGGTACGGTATATTGCTTTGAGTGTATTTTACAAAACGACTCCCGATATAAAGCACTTTAGGTATGTCCATGTTGTGATGTGTTGCTCTGCTTATATTCAGGTTATTTTTGAATGAATTTTGTGTCCAAAATGAAACAATCCTTGGAAATTTAATTCAACTTTGGTGTTGCAGGCTGAACACTGGGGGGGGGGCACCGACGTAATGACGTACATGACTAAGACGGAAGAAGAAAAAAGAAGTCACGAAGAAGAAATCTGACGTCATGCACCGCGCAACACTGCAACATTCCCATCAAAAGCAATACATGTACATTGAAAATAAGTCACAACTTGCTCATTTCTCAACCGATTTTCACGATGCTTCCTTTTTTTTGCCGAATCCAAAATATGGGCTGTCATGAATGATCATCCTCAATTTTTCTGGGGGTTTTGTGACGTACACGAATATGGAATGCGGCAACACTTTGCCCGTACAAGCCTTAACGTCGCCGTAGACATGGGCGTGTCATATCTACCTATTGTTCATATTTATGGCGGTAATGACAACCGGTTCCCAAAATCTATTGCATGGTACAATGGATTTACTGAATGAAGTTATAAGGACGTTAATCCTTGCCATATACTGTACGTGTGGTTGGCTCTTAGCTGTTGATTGTGTGTCTCGTAAACATACATATACCTACAGAAATTCCGTACATGGATGCAATTCACTTAGAAAAACGTTTGTCAGCCATACATGCCAGGCACCATGGTCTAAGTCACTGGTATCGACTGCCAAGCTGACGCTTGAGACCTTGCAATAAGGCGGGTATCGGCCCGATACCAATACCCTGTTCCTTATCACCCGACCCCTACCTTTAGGCACTCCCTTTTTGAACAACGCAACAAAATGACAAACTGGTTTGCCCATTTGTATGTTGCAAAAGCAGAATTTTGGCCACTTTCTCTGAACTTTTGACCCCCATGTTTGTGCTTCCAATCTGCATTGCTTTCCCTCACCTGTACATTTCGACATGAGAGAAGAACGAGAGACCAAGAAATGATCCACAAACGCAATGATATCAGATTTATGTGCTGTGTTGCAGTCGTACATCAAGAGATTGTAATTGGCCTAAAAACCTGAGGTAGGGAGGAGTAATTTTTTTGGGGCTTATTGTACAACAGAAATGATTACGTATTATTTTGCAGACCCCAAAGTTAAGGCTCAGTTTGAGAATCACTGATCAATTCATAACAATTTTAATCAAACATTGTCGTTCTGTATGTGAAGGATTAAGCATTTCAAACCTTCTTTTCCGACCGGTTTCTTATAAAGGAAGCCAGTGTGTGTGCGTGTGTGCACGAGCATGTGTGTGTTCATGTTGTGTTGACAAAGCTCAAGCGGCGTTTCTTGTCGAGGCAGACGATATGGTTATTTAACTTCAGCGGTGGCAATGTTTGTACTTCTGATGAAATACTAAGGTCTTGTGTCATAATATCTCATCACTTATCAGATGGGCTTATGTTAGCCCAACTGCCCTCATGACAATGCAGTAGCAGAATGGTATTGTTTTCTCATCAAAAACAAAAACTTGCATTACTTTTACACTTGAATGTACATCATACACATGCCAGAGTTTTCATCCATTTTTGAATGCTTGCTAAATGCTTAGCATAGTAAATTGTAAAAATTAGTCGCACACAGAATGATGGTGCTGATACCCATTTAATTTGTGTGTGTGTGTGTGTGTGTGTGTGTGTGTGTGTGTGTGTGTGTGTGTGTGTGTGTGCCAGTCTCTTGTTTGGTCCATTTCATGCCTGTTTGGCACACTTGATGCTCTCCTCTTCGAGGAAGAAATTAGTAGAGGGATTTTCTCTTTCAGAATTTCTCGATTGAGCCGTCAGTTTAATATTGCTGTTCTAATTTTGTCACGTCCGCATCCCATGGCAGTAATTATTTTTGATCACTGGATGGTAATTAACTTCAACTGCCTTCCTTTTGGGTATGGTGGCATGGTCAGCTCCTTGGTGGTGTCGCTGTGACTACTCTTTGCAATGTTACTGCCTCTTTGCATCATATTGGAAGGAGCACTTCCTGCAGCAACAGCAGTATAAACAATCATTGCGGCATTGTCTGTGAACAAATGGCGGTCAGCCTTGGTGAATGGTCAGATCTATGAAGAAGAGTGGAGAAGGTTTTGTCCCGTCACCGGGCTACGTGTCATGACATAACTCTGCTGACATTGTCAGTTCAGTGCGTCAGATGGAGGGAATATGTTGGTAAAGTTAACATTTCCAGGCGTTACCTGAATGGTTGAGTCAGAACATACCAGAAGTCTTTTTTTTTTGTTTTGTTTTTTGTAACCTTGTTGTGGTCCATGTTCTCAAAGGTGCCACTACACTAATCACAAACAAGACTCACTGAGGGTGTTTGTGTACTCGGCCAATGTTCTGGCTTCTCTGCAGGCTCCATTTTAAGCTGCTGCGCATGAGTGCAGGCGTTTTAGGACAACTTGATCGAGTATCGTAGAACCTCGGGTTGAACGTCATCTGTTCAGAGACACTGGTCAACCTACAATTTGTCCGGTTTTGAAACGAAAACAAGAAAATGGACAGAAATATGTTCATTGTCGGGTGAAAAATTCACATTCAACAGAGCAGTCTATTTTTAATTCGTTTTAAGACTTGTGTCATATAATGTAAAAGGTAACTTAATGCCACTGTTCATTTTTCACATAGGATGGCCCAAAAGTCACTCCGCACTTGCTATTTTTCTATTTCGTTCGAGGTATCATTCAGACTGACGTGAGGCCATCATCATTTGGCAGCTTAGGCTTTGCAATTTTCATAACCGTATCATTCCCTTCACTTTGACTTGGCAATTCAAGCCAAAAATTATGATCCGCTCCACACCGGAAGTCTAAACTGTACATGTTGGAGCCGTGTGATTGCCAAAAGTCTTCTCAAACACTCAACAATAAACTTCTGTTGGTGACAGAAAAACTCGCTACACTGCTCCAGTGTCAATTGGCAAACCACGAGCGAGAGAATGCTATGCATATAAAAACTGTAAAAAAAAAAAAAAAGCCTGAGCTGTCGAGTGCTGCATGGCCTCACGTATGTACGAATGACATCTGAAAAACAAAATAGAAAAAAAGGAAGAGTGTGGCAACTCTTGCGACACCCTGTATTCACTATAATATATTTCAAACCCAAACTACAAGTTTTCCCCGTCAATGTGGGCCCGACGATCAAGCAGCACACCTGCAAAATGATCTTGAGAAGAGAAGAGGCAATACAGTATTTGTGGCAGGGTAGCAAGTGGCTGCTCCATGACAGCACACTTGCTCGCAATGTCATG